TCTGTAAAATATGTAATTTTTTAGAACACTATTCTTTTATCAGAAAATATAATAATTAAATTATACACCAAAACTTTCAAGTTTCCAAAACTAAGGTGTAGCTTCCAAATCACAGCAATTGTTCCCATTTCAAAAAAGACTTACGGTTTAGTGAGGAAGAGTGAGAATCAGCTAGTTGTGAACTCCAGAACTGATTCACTGACTCATTGAGTCTGATTCAAACCAGCAAGGTTGAGGCTGTTTCAGTAATCTTTTTAACCGACTCATTTAAAAAAAAAAAAAGGTTCACAGACGAGTCATTAGTTTATTAATCGGACATCACGGCTCACACTGTGTTTGTAGCTGCACACAGGAAAGAGTGGGGTGCACTCTAATCGGATGATATCTAAATCTCATATTGGCCACACAAAAAGCTTTCCCAACAAGATTTTAAGTTGTTTTTGCATTTCTGACCTTTTTGTCACAGTCTAGAGTTCTACACATAACATGTCAATGAACTTTTTTCAACATCAAGATCCTAAAATTAATAGTCAATTTCCATTTAAACATCTTAAAAGCCATATTTGCCTTCACTAGTTGATATTAAATAGTCCCGTGATGTGACAATTGAATGAAGTATACAAAATTAAAGACATAAAAGCTGCATCCACAAAAATGAATAAATAAAAGAATTAGCAAATAATTACAAAAATTATTTTTACAGTAGCTTTATATGGAGTACAACATCATGCAGGACACACCAACTTTCAAAATAAAAAAACAAACACAAACACATAAAATGTGGGGAAATGTGCTCTTGTGGCAGTGTGACCTGCTCTCCCTTTGTCTGTCTGTCTCTATATTTCTCTCAGACACATTTATGTACAGCTGACCCACTTAGAGCTTTTAAAAATGGTTAAAATCACTGAACGTGCCCAAGCAGAAGAGAGGCGCAAAACAAGGCTAGACTCTCCACACCCTGCTGGGAAGACTGCTGTGGATGTGTGTGAATGTGTGTGTGTGTTTGGTGTTGGCATGCAATATTTTCTCCCGTGTATATAGCCAACCCCCTCAACCCACCATTTCAGCCTTGAAGGAAGGACATGAACACACAAACAAGAGAGAAAAGAGAGCGATACATACATATAGGGGAGCGAGGGGCACAAAGTAATGCGGGGTTAGTTGTAACACACGTGGTTTGAATATTTCCACACATGCTAGCATAACAAAATTTACAGTATTTATTAGTTACCATATCAACAATATATAGAAAAAAATGTGCGCCAAAATAAACAAATCTTTTGAAGATATCGCTGAACATTTTTTTTTTACCATAGTAAAATTAAAATTCTGGCTTAAGTAAATTTTTCTTTGAGGGTAAATAAAGAAAAACATATACACTGCAATTATGAAACAAAGCGACATATTTGTACTAGACAAGTGTAAAATTACTGTGGATAAAAAAAATTATATTCTGAACCCCATGTGGATTTACACAAACTGAGAAATCAAAAAGTGTTACTTTGTGCCCCGCTCTCCCCTACATACCAACAAGGCTGAGTGGAGATCAGTGTTAATTAAAATAAAAATTATAAAAATTATTTTCGTTGAATTAAATAAAGGTGTAATAAAATAAATTACAATTATTAGATGAAAAATTTAAACTTATTTCAGTTAGTCACCAAGGCAACAATGTACTAAAGTATTAAAATTACTAACTAAAACTCAAATAAAAATAAATGGAATTAAAAATAAATTACATTTTATATTTATATAAATATAAAAAGAAATTACAAAAATACAAAATCACGAAACAAAATTACCAAAACTTACTAAATTAAACTGAAAATATAAAAAAAGATATTTGAAGCTAAATGAATAAATACTATAATAGTATTTAAATAATACAACAACAACAACACTGGTGGAGATTGTTAATGGTGGGAGAGAGAATGTCTTTGTGTATGAATACAGTCAGACTAAACACAGCAATTTGTCATACAGTATATACACTTTAGTCGAACTAAAATTCACAAATTCAAACTAACAGACCCAGATAACACAACTGCACCTCATCTTCGTCCAGCATGCATACAAAATAATCACTGACTTCAGTGCTGTGCTTGCTCTGAAAGATGTATATTTAATCCTTCAAATGTTCAGTTATGCTTTGTGTCATGTACTTAGAGATGATGACTGTATTTTGACTACCAAAAGTCTCAACATCATTTTTTCATAAACAAAACATTCCAAAGCCAAATCATCTATAAAGGACTTTTAGGAGAGATCAAAGTTGATACTGAGATAGCACAGTTCCTAACTGAACCCTTATAAATTCAACTCTCTCCAGAAAACCACGTCTCCACCTTGCTTTGATATCACACAAATGCTTTCCTTCTGACCTCAGATTCACCGAGTCACTTAAACATCAATTTAGCACTAGTGAAATGACATCAAAAATGTCTCTAGTCACATAAACCAATCAGCTAAAGCCCCACCTGGGGTTCTCCAGCAACCACTTAAACACACAGAGAGGTAGATAGAAGCAGCTATGCTTGTGACATGACAGCACACACCACAGACACAAATTAGGCATGTTTATAGCCTGTAGGCTTTGTGTGAGAGAGTGTGTATATTCAGTACATGTGGTCAAGAGGATACGGGGTAAAAAAAATATTCTCCACTGCTGCTGTGAGGGCAATTAAACATCTCTCTCTTTCTCTCTCTCTCTCTAAAATCCCACATAGAAATGTACTTTCTCGACATTTAACAACCCCTGTCCCCATCCTCTCTCCTCTCTTTCTTGCTTCTTCCTGGTTTACAATCATTAGTTCTGGGTTTTTTATAATAAATTAATCGCTCTAAAGGTTTTTGTTTTCTTACTTTCCCGAATGGAGGAGTCTCAGAGGGGTTACAAAGATAAAAAAAAGCAATCTCACTTCTGCTTTTGAGCTCACAGACAAACAGACTTCCTCCACAAACTGTAAGCATGACAGCGAGAGAAGAGAGAGAGGTGTTCAGTAGGAGGAGGGAATCCCCACTTGAGTCAAGAAAGCTGCTCCTGCTGGGAAAATACCTGTGTTGCTGTAGAGTTCTTGTGAATTACGAGTCTTGATAACAATCAAACTTTTGTTTTCTACTCGTTTGTGCTCCTCAAGGAAATAGACGTACATGGTCTGTTTATTATAAGTAACATCACACAGATTTACCAAAACGGTTTCAAACACTTTCCTATTAAGTCGTTTCTTGTGTAAATATATACATATATGTTTTTAAATAAGTTCATTCATAAAGTTATATTTATTTATATATTATATATATTTATATAGAAATGTAAATCAGATGATGTATAAATCTCAATTTCGAAAAATTGACCCTTATGACTGGTTTTGTGGTCCAGGGTCACATATATAAATTAATTAAATACATTAAAAATATTATTTATAAATGTTAAATTCAAATAATGCAACTTCAATTAACAAATAACATTTAAATCAGAATGTTTAACATTAGAAATTACTAAAAGGACAAAAAAAACATCAATCTAATCTTAAAAATAAAATATTGTGAGTTGAGTAGTTAAATGTGTGTGTGTGTGTGTGTGTGTGTGTGAGTGAGTGAGTGAGTGAGTGAGTGAGTGAGTGAGTGAGTGAGTGAGTGTTTTGGGGGGATAGAAGTTTTGAGTCCCTCTTTAGTTTGCAACCATGCATGTCAAGACACTAAAGAAACCGGCCCCCTTTTCTCTTTCTTCCTCAATCTCAGTCTCCTCTAAAATTCATTATCTTTTATTGGTGTGATGAAAGAGGACTACTGGGCTGAAAGAGATGAAAGAGAGCTTCAAACAGACCGCCCCGCAGGAGACAGAATGCACAGCGGCACTTTGAAACTCTATAGGCTCTATAGGCCACACACACACGCCTTTGCTCTTTACTGCATAAACAAACACATATTCTCACTTCAGAGCAAAAAAATTAATAAAACTCTAGATCTTCTCGTTTTTTTCATTCAAGAAATAATATTTTTAGATATGACACAGTAACAAAACAACTGAAAGAACAGTAATTTTGGCCCTATCCTAATTAACAGAGATGGACTGAGCATGTTCAGCCTTTTAGCATGAATGCTAATCACATACAAAGACTCACATTCCTTCACTCTCTGTTCAGCTGTCCATTCAATTAACCTTTGGAGCTTCCTAACTGCCCCCCTTATACACACATCAGAGTTGGAACACCCACTCCCCTCCCTTCCCATGGTACACACCACAGGGTGCCCACTCCATCTTTCAGAAACAGTCTCCCCCAGTATGAAGTGAGCACACCCAAAGCTCCACAAGCTAATGGAAAAACCAGGGCTGTAATTCCCTCTTCTTATATCTTTGGATTTTTAATTGCTTACTTCTAGAAGTCCTGCATAAAACGTAATTCTTTTTACACTTTTTCAATGCGCTAAATCATTTGTCGACTCTATAAATCAAGAATTTTGAAGACAACACAGATGCATCACAGTCTTAGGAAATAACAACTATAGAGGTCATCTATTGCTTGCACTTAAAAGTAAAGTGTCAGTTTCGTGCCACTACTGACACCAAATAGAATCACAAAAATAAAATTGTCTACATCCACCCCGCTCCCATCTTCCGCTGTTTGGCCAGACCATCTAAGAACAACAAAGTTTACACTCTTTGGAAAGTCAGCCAAAGACTGGCTTAATTTAATTTGTCTCTGCACATTAACCTGGGGTAAAAGAAAGTAAAATGTACTCGCCTCACCTATACACTATAGTAAAACTTGTACAAACTGACAGAGACTGTTCTGTATTCAACTCTATTTTCTACATTTATAAAACACATCAAGTTAGACATAAAGAAAGCACTATTCCTGAAGGTAATGAATTTCCTAAAGGTCACATCAAAAGTTGATTTTTATACTAACTGTCTGGCTTTATATCATTTGTGAAAATATGTTTTGTAATATATGACATTCCACACATAAGTTTAACAAGCAAGCAATGGTACTCACATCTCTGCAGTGAGGCACGATACCACCAGCAGGCATCCCCCTTTGCACACGCTGTGGCAAAAGATGTCCATGTCCTGTGGCTGAGAGAGAGAGAGAGAGAGAGAGAGTCAGTTTTGGGGGGATAGAAGTTTTGAGTCCCTCTTTAGTTTGCAACCATGCATGTCAAGACACTAAAGAAACCGGCCCCCTTTTCTCTTTCTTCCTCAATCTCAGTCTCCTCTAAAATTCATTATCTTTTATTGGTGTGATGAAAGAGGACTACTGGGCTGAAAGAGAGGGATTCTGTCTTCAAACAGACCGCCCCGCAGGAGACAGAATGCACAGCGGCACTTTGAAACTCTATAGGCATACACACACACACACACACGCCTTTGCTCTTTACTGCATAAACAAACACATATTCTCACTTCAGAGCAAAAAAATTAATAAAACTCTAGATCTTCTCGTTTTTTTCATTCAAGAAATAATATTTTTAGATATGACACAGTAACAAAACAACTGAAAGAACAGTAATTTTGGCCCTATCCTAATTAACAGAGATGGACTGAGCATGTTCAGCCTTTTAGCATGAATGCTAATCACATACAAAGACTCACATTCCTTCACTCTCTGTTCAGCTGTCCATTCAATTAACCTTTGGAGCTTCCTAACTGCCCCCCTTATACACACATCAGAGTTGGAACACCCACTCCCCTCCCTTCCCATGGTACACACCACAGGGTGCCCACTCCATCTTTCAGAAACAGTCTCCCCCAGTATGAAGTGAGCACACCCAAAGCTCCACAAGCTAATGGAAAAACCAGGGCTGTAATTCCCTCTTCTTATATCTTTGGATTTTTAATTGCTTACTTCTAGAAGTCCTGCATAAAACGTAATTCTTTTTACACTTTTTCAATGCGCTAAATCATTTGTCGACTCTATAAATCAAGAATTTTGAAGACAACACAGATGCATCACAGTCTTAGGAAATAACAACTATAGAGGTCATCTATTGCTTGCACTTAAAAGTAAAGTGTCAGTTTCGTGCCACTACTGACACCAAATAGAATCACAAAAATAAAATTGTCTACATCCACCCCGCTCCCATCTTCCGCTGTTTGGCCAGACCATCTAAGAACAACAAAGTTTACACTCTTTGGAAAGTCAGCCAAAGACTGGCTTAATTTAATTTGTCTCTGCACATTAACCTGGGGTAAAAGAAAGTAAAATGTACTCGCCTCACCTATACACTATAGTAAAACTTGTACAAACTGACAGAGACTGTTCTGTATTCAACTCTATTTTCTACATTTATAAAACACATCAAGTTAGACATAAAGAAAGCACTATTCCTGAAGGTAATGAATTTCCTAAAGGTCACATCAAAAGTTGATTTTTATACTAACTGTCTGGCTTTATATCATTTGTGAAAATATGTTTTGTAATATATGACATTCCACACATAAGTTTAACAAGCAAGCAATGGTACTCACATCTCTGCAGTGAGGCACGATACCACCAGCAGGCATCCCCCTTTGCACACGCTGTGGCAAAAGATGTCCATGTCCTGTGGCTGATGTGGGCGTCGTGGGCTGCATGCTAGCATTGCGGTATGCTCCCACAGTCAGAGGACCCAGTTTGGTCACAGAGGGATTGGGGTCAAAATGACGTAACGGCTTGGTGTTGTTGAAAGAGTATGGTTCTGGACCCATACCAGCTGTGGTGGTCTTGTTTAGTTGCAGCTGTGAGGGTTTTCCCTGTGCCTGCATTAGGAGATTGAGGCTACTGGGTGGCTGGTTGGATGTGATGGCCTTGAACAGCTGACTAGACATTGCAGGTGCTTGAGTATTTTGTGAGTTGCTCTGTTCAGCTGTCCATTCAATTAACCTTTGGAGCTTCCTAACTGCCCCCCTTATACACACATCAGAGTTGGAACACCCACTCCCCTCCCTTCCCATGGTACACACCACAGGGTGCCCACTCCATCTTTCAGAAACAGTCTCCCCCAGTATGAAGTGAGCACACCCAAAGCTCCACAAGCTAATGGAAAAACCAGGGCTGTAATTCCCTCTTCTTATATCTTTGGATTTTTAATTGCTTACTTCTAGAAGTCCTGCATAAAACGTAATTCTTTTTACACTTTTTCAATGCGCTAAATCATTTGTCGACTCTATAAATCAAGAATTTTGAAGACAACACAGATGCATCACAGTCTTAGGAAATAACAACTATAGAGGTCATCTATTGCTTGCACTTAAAAGTAAAGTGTCAGTTTCGTGCCACTACTGACACCAAATAGAATCACAAAAATAAAATTGTCTACATCCACCCCGCTCCCATCTTCCGCTGTTTGGCCAGACCATCTAAGAACAACAAAGTTTACACTCTTTGGAAAGTCAGCCAAAGACTGGCTTAATTTAATTTGTCTCTGCACATTAACCTGGGGTAAAAGAAAGTAAAATGTACTCGCCTCACCTATACACTATAGTAAAACTTGTACAAACTGACAGAGACTGTTCTGTATTCAACTCTATTTTCTACATTTATAAAACACATCAAGTTAGACATAAAGAAAGCACTATTCCTGAAGGTAATGAATTTCCTAAAGGTCACATCAAAAGTTGATTTTTATACTAACTGTCTGGCTTTATATCATTTGTGAAAATATGTTTTGTAATATATGACATTCCACACATAAGTTTAACAAGCAAGCAATGGTACTCACATCTCTGCAGTGAGGCACGATACCACCAGCAGGCATCCCCCTTTGCACACGCTGTGGCAAAAGATGTCCATGTCCTGTGGCTGATGTGGGCGTCGTGGGCTGCATGCTAGCATTGCGGTATGCTCCCACAGTCAGAGGACCCAGTTTGGTCACAGAGGGATTGGGGTCAAAATGACGTAACGGCTTGGTGTTGTTGAAAGAGTATGGTTCTGGACCCATACCAGCTGTGGTGGTCTTGTTTAGTTGCAGCTGTGAGGGTTTTCCCTGTGCCTGCATTAGGAGATTGAGGCTACTGGGTGGCTGGTTGGATGTGATGGCCTTGAACAGCTGACTAGACATTGCAGGTGCTTGAGTATTTTGTGAGTTGAAAAGATGTCCTTGTGTGTGAGGTTGTGTTCCTGGTTGGCATTGCCCAGCTGGACTTGGATGTTTATCTGGTCGGTAAGGAGGTGATGGTCGAGTGTTGTTTGATGCTGGGGCCACACCAGGAAGATAACTTGCCTGAGAACCTTGGATTGCAGTGCCTGAAACTCCTGGTGGGGCATTTCCAGACAGAATGCTGTTCTGGGGGCTGAAAGGGGGCTGAGCAATTGCTGGGCTGGCTAGCTTTTCTGGCCTGTATGGTGGTGAAGGACCGGTGGATGGGGCTGGAGCCATGCTAGAGATTAGAGAACTCTGGGGGCTCTGAATATTACCTGCTGGGCTGAAGGGCTGCTGATGAGGCGATGAGTTAGGCAGTTTATCCCCTGGTCGGTAAGGTGGAGAGGGACCAGCCCAAGAAGTACTCTGTTGGCCCAATCCAGACAACCCCGACTGTGCAGATGGGGGACCTGCACTGTTGTTGGAATGATGCTTACTATTCGATGCCATCTGCTGAAGCTGTTGGGCCCGGGACACCTCATGCCAGTTGGATCCAGCCCGGCTTGATAAGGCGGCAGAAAGCATGGGTGATCGTGCTTGATTTTGCCCTTGTGAAGAGGAGGAGGACAGGGGTGATGCTGAGAGTGGAGACGGAACTGTTTTGGAAGGGTGTGGTAGAGTATATGGTGCCCCAGCAGGACTTGGACCCACTTGAGGGGACCCAGCTTGAGAGAAACCAGGGGACTGAGTGAGGTGGGCCTCCAGGTGTGACTGTCTCTGTGGAGACCTTTTGGGGGCACCATTACCCTCCAGGTGGACAAAACCTCCAGCACTACTTGCCTGGTCATCACTTTCTTTTCCTAAGATCTTCTCAATGTCAAGCTCAGGTAAAGAGGGATCAGGGTTCTTTGTAAGTTCATCCAAAATGTCCTGCAGTTCTTGTTCCACTGAAGGAGTGGCCGAACTCCCATTTGGGTTGAAGTTACTTGTCAAGCCCCCTGAGCTTCCCCCGGTCCCTGGCGTTGATCCAGGACTAGCATTTGGGGGTACGGAATATGGAGACCCCAAATTGTTGTTGTTGCTATTCAGTCGATTAGCTTCCAGAACACCCCCCTGGTTGTCCATCCCAGAAGGGAATGGGGGCTGAGGGTAGCTGGGGCCCATGGCCAGGGTGACATCTTCCAGACATAGACGTTTGCCACCTCCCTGGGTCATAGACGTGTCAGAGACCCCGTTTAGTGATGCAGAACTCTCGACGGCCCCAGTCAATTTCCTCTTCAGGGATCCTAGCAGCTGTGGAGACACAGAAAGACGAAGCCTTGTTATCACGGCAAGTTGCTTCAAGGAAAACAGAATGGTGACCATCAAAAAAAAAAAAAAAGAGATTGCAAACCAGAATTGTGTAATGTTATGTGACAACTTTTACTAAGAGTCAAAATCTGGACATTCATTCACAGTTTTCAATATATATTTAGTTTTTTTTGGCAACAACTTGATTGTTACCATAAGTCAACTGGTCTGTTACTGGCCACAAATGGACTGTAGGGATCTCAAGGCTCTATCTTTTAAACACTACCAGTATGAATGCCTATTTCCAAAATGGGCTTTTTGGGTCTGAGCCTTCCAAGGCCCAGCTGTTGTCCAATGGTGCCAGAAGTGGGATGATTCAGCAGACCGTTTCCATAAGTGCATGGGTCAACACTGTGAACACCTTCTCTCTTACCCCATCCTCCCCAATTCTAGCTCTCTGGAGAGCCCTCTTAGCGGATTAAGACTAAAGAGCTGCCAATCAAAAGCGCTTCATTCACATTCAGAATGAAGATGTTTGCAAACTTGCAAATCACATAATATAAAAGACAGAGCCTGGGCATTTTTTAGATGTGTGGCTTCCAAGGAACGCCTATTACCAAAGCAAAGCATTGAATGAAACTTAAAACAGAATGCTGGTAAACTAAAATAGTAAGTGTTCATTCTGGTCTTACAAAATCAACCAGAAAAATCAGGTATTAGCAGTGTCAGTTCATGAGAGCAACACATTTTTAGACTTTTTTTTCTTTCTTTATCATTTAAGAGAATAGTGGACTCCCAAAAGAGCACGGCTGGAAAGACGGTGTCTTGGTGGACTTTAGTCCCAGTGCAGCTAGAAATCCTGTGTGTTCCATGGCACTTTTAGCCTCATAGAAAAATTGAGAAAGACAGAGAGAGAGATAGAGACGAATGAAGAGAGACCTCCTAAGAAATGGATTCTTGACGGGATGAATAATTTACTGTAACATTCCAGCTGCAAAAGAATGTGCAGCATTTTTTCATTCTTGTTTCTTCTCTGCATTCTCTCTATTTTATGAGGATCATGACACCATTATCCATTTTTAAGCTCTTTCTCAGACTTGTAAAAGCCATTGGGAAAATGGCTACAGAATATTGCCTTGTACATATCATATAGAAGAAACATTCTTGACAGTTCCCTACGCCTAGATCCGATACAGGAATATATAAACACTACACCTCACACCCTTCCCAAAAAGCTGGCTTGTGGACACTGCTAGTCCACTTCCTACAAAAGCGCTCTTTCCTCCTTTCTCTTCCGTCATCCCCATGTTCCCTACCCCCTTTTTATATAGGAGGTTTTCCACATAGATTCCTCTCTGACTAGAACAATGGAACTCTGGAGACACACCTTCCCCGGCATCGCCAAGCTGTCTGCGCAGTCCACCCTGCCTTGCATGTGTGTGTGTCTGTGTTTGAAAAAGAGACAGTGTGAACATGTGACGAAAAGGAAGAGTGTCTGTGCATGTGTAACAGAATATGAATTAATGCAGCCTTCATTTTAGAGGCTGTATTCTCACTGACACACATGCACACACAATCCTCTCTCTAATGGATGCCAATTTCACCCAGAGTAAACACATCAATACAGAAACATCGACTGTCTCTCTCCCTCTCTCTCTCTCTCTGCTGGAGGGACGCCTTTCATTCGGTAGCGATCGGATTTGTCCCATTATGACTGACACAACCATCTGTCAGCACAGAGCACTGGCAAGAGAGAGACAGGGAGCAGACCTATCATCCACACTGCTGTGCATATTCCTCATAATTATGGCTGGTAAGGCATACATCTGATTGCATTGCTCTGATTCTCATTAAAGCTGCACTGAATACACACACACACACACACACACACACACACACACACACACACAATCACCCATATACACACACACAGAATGCTAAACAAACAGAATGGAACAGTGATGAGAGGGGATTAGTAAATTAGTGCAGTCTGAGTGCGTGTAATGGTAGATTTCAATAATTGGGTTGATGGATTTGGTGGGTATTGAGATTAAAATAAAAAGCATCAAATAGTAACCGAGACCAAAGTGTCAATTAGCGCAATGTCTAGTAAAAGTACTACAGCCACCATCACCAATACTAAGAAAATGTATGTCTTAGTATTACACACAATGGGCCACCACTACTACTACCTTAATAACCGATAAAAACCAAAAAAACCAAAAAAAATGCACACTAGTATGGACTGGATACCATGTCAAAATCATGATTGACATCGGTCAATGGCATGAATGACATACGGTTCCGTTAGCAGCTCACACCTGCAATGCTTTATTAAAATATTCTCACAAAGTTCCCTGGATTACTTATTCAGTCGCACATCAACACCACTACAGAACCTACAGCGTGACCAGTGTAGTCCAATTTAAAAGAATGAATGAATTTTGATTGACTAAAAAGAATCGGCTTAGAGTCATTCGCTATGTATTGAATTAATAACATACCACTCAACCAGTGTTGTCTGATTCCCAAACAAATAACTCAAAGGTGTTGGGTCTTTTCAGTGAACCAAATAACCAGGACAACCAGGGGTGTGTTTCCTATACAACAATGAGACTTGCTGCTTAAAGGGTTAGTTCACCCAAAAATGAAAATTCTGTCATTAATTACTCACCCTCATATCGTTCTAAATCCTCCGTTCGTCTTCGGAACACAAATTAAGATATTTTTGAAGCATTCTGACAGCTCTCTGACGCTCCCATAGACAGCAATGTTATTACCACGATCAAGGTCCAGAAACGTAGCTAGGAGATCGGTAAAATAATCCATGTGACATCAGGCGTTCAACCGTAATTTTACAAAGCTACGAGAATACTTTTTGTACACAAAGAAAACAAAAATAACGACTTTATTCAACAAGTCTCCTCCGCGTCACCCTGGTGCCATTTTGGAGAATATCCACTGAACGTAAAAAATTAATGACAGAATTTTAATTTTTGGGTGAACTAACCCTTTAACAACCATTATACGGTGCATTACTGGAGAAGTTAGTTACAACTGTTTCCAGAACAGTAGTAACTTTTTTTTTTTTCGCACATTCTTCATTCAGCAATATAGAACTGTTGTTAATTATGTCATGCAGGTGGTGAGTAATAACTCCTGCTAATAGATAGGTTCAAGATTAAATATATAGACATATATACTGCATGTTATCATGCTTATTTTGTTCAAGCGGTTCAAATGATGATTTGGGGAATTACAACTTTTTACTGATAGGCTGCTGATATGACAATGTCAGTAATGCATTTATGCTGCATCTAATAAAAAGTCTATAATTAGTACTGATTAGCACTATCTACGCACAAGTGGCACTACTATTTACTCATGTTCTTATACCCCAACTACTCATACCTGGTTTTGTGTGATTAAATCATTTGTTGGCTACTGTATAAACAGGTCTGTAATAGGGCTATTTCCGTGTTGTAATATTTGTTTCTTCACCCTTCATTCTTCTAGCATCTGGACCTGGGTGTCATGTCCACACACACAGCTCTCTATGATGGCTGCTATCGATCTATCTCTGCAATGGCTGATTATTCAACCACTGTGTCCCTGTTTGTGCAGTCATCAACGAATCAATGATTCAGAAGCTTTTTGACTCGGATGCCAAGACAAAGATATGGAATCTTTGACACGTTATTATCTTAAATGATTCAATGAGTAATTCAAATGACTGGCAAAATGACTATTCATAAAACGTTTGTTTAACTTCAACCACCACCATTTATCAACTTATAGGATTTCACAGACTACAAAAGTCAAATAATTTAAGTAATGCTCACTGAACCATCATTACTGAATGTGCAGTGACTAATTAAAAAAAACATGAATTCAACTACTAGAAAGCTACTTCTATACGTTCCACTGTACAAAGAAGGTAATTAAGGACAGTCCCTCTTGTTAGAGGACACACAAACAGAATGAGGAGTGCGTGTGCGAGAGTAAGAAAGATAGAGATACAGAGTAGGGCAGAGAGAGGGTCTGTGCCAAGAGAAACAGAATGGGAGGGGTCTGGAGACACTTTTTGCGCATATAAACAGAGTTTCGTCTCATAGACCAACATAAACACACCTAATGTGTGTGCGCTGGAAAACACAGTCAACCTCTCATGCGCTCACAAAGACAAACACCCTCAAAGAGGTGCTGAGATAGAGGTACTTTACTGATCCCTGTGGGACAATTAAACCCAGAAATGTTATTGTTTAGTCAACTTTCTTTCTTCTGTGGAACACAAAACACAAATTTTTGATTAACATCTTGCCCACTCTCTTTTCAATATAATGAAAGTTAATGAGGACTGGGGCTTCCAGCATCTAAAAGGTCAAAAAAGCATCATAAAATAGTCCATACGACTTATGTGCTATATTCCAATCCTTCTGATTTCCTACGATAATTTTGTGTGAGAAACAGACTGACATTTAAGTTGTTATTCACTGAAAATCTTGTTATCTGTACCTGCTCTCCTTGGCGCTTTAAGAAATTCATAAGAGAATAAGATTTGTTCTTTGGAGTAAGATGGTTTCAGTTGATTATTTGATCCAGTTCAGATAGCTGGTCCGAATAAGATGTTTATAAATTGGTAAATCTGGTTCTTCAGTTTGACTCACTGACTCCGACCATAGTGGTTAACAGCTTATTGGAGAGGATGATTATCTGTGAATAACGATTTAAATTTCAGTCTGTTCCTCACATAACTGCTATCATATGACTTGGAATATAGGGAGTGTGCCATTTGGATCACTTCAAGGAAACTTTGATATATATTTTTAGTAATTTTGTAGCTTGTAGCCCCAGTTCTCTTCTCATTCACCTCCATTATACACACTATACTGTTTTAAACGTTTGGGGTCTGTAAGATTTTATAATGTCAGTAATCAGTAATATTGTGAAATATTATTACAGTTTGAATTATTTAAAAAAATATATTTACAATATTTATTTCT